CAGTGGCACCGGTGGGGCTTTGGGGGCCCTGTTGCTGCGTGTTCCTGCGTGGTGACCATTCTTGAACCGCCTCCACATTCTTGTCTGTTGTGCTAATGTGAGATGTCGTCACGCCTACGTTTAGCAAAAGCTATGGAGCTATTAACTCGGAGGTAGGAAAGTGCTTTGATGAAAATATATTAAACATTAAAATCCGCTGTGGTTTCTCCAAATTATGCCTCTGTACGCTGAGACAAACACTTCAAAATATTTCAGTTCTAGTAAGGAGAGCAAAACACCATCCTGAGAAATATTTTTATACAGTCATAGTAAGTAGCTCCTTTTCAGCTCCTTTAAAAGTGTTGCTAAAAGTTCGCTATCCATAGACTTCAGGAGTTGTGTGAGAGAAGGATTAATGTCACTGTGTACTTAAATCCTCTTTCATTAGTTTTGTCCCCAGCCTTCAGCAGTTTGCTGTACCCGGCCTCATAGAAAACATGTTACAGCTTTTCCCAGAGTGGTTTGTATTCACACAATTATTATAGGCACTGTAACTCCTGTTCAAAAACATCCTAGATTCCATTAGTGTATTTTTCAAAGCCTTTTTTACAAGACATGAGAGCTCCACCTCTTCTGTGCATTATGTGTGTAGTTTTATGATGGAAGAGCCTGGATTTCTGACCATACATATTGTACATGCTTAAATAACTATTAGTCTTCCATGGATCCTGGTCTGTTTTGTTTGGTTTGGTTTTGGTTTTTTTTTTTTTTTTCACATGGGTTCTGACCTTGGAGCAATCCAAAAGAAGTCACTGGAAAATGGGAACCATCAGCTGTCTCTGCCTACAGGAGCTGCTCTGTATATCCTGTGTGCATATTTCTTTGATGGGAAGGGTGTCGGTTTCTCTTGTAGTTAGACCAGTGACTGATTCATCACTGAACCATCTCTTCCTGTAATTCACTGCCACTTCATTCAGTTGATTGTATTATGTGGGACAGGGAGAAGTGCCAGAGCAATACAAAGAGGGGTGGATAATAAATTCTGTTTCAGCTGAAAAGTTGATGTTGTTTATTATTTGTATCCTTCTGAGGACTGTCCCCTAGGAACACTAATAATGCACAAGAAACCTGTTTTAATAGCTGCAGTACAAACTCAGACCCTGTTATTCCACAGTAGAAAGAAGACTCCTGCCTCAAAAACGTATTTATAGAAACAGTAGATGGAGAGAACAAGTGGAGTAGGAAATAACACAATATTGATTAACACAATAAACAGTCTTTGCAGCAAAATTAATCTGATGCCTCATTTAGCTATATCTGTAGTCGAACAAGATTTATCCAATTTAGAAATGGCATTTCATTTATTTGGCCCAAAGCTTTTAACTATATGTTTTATCAGCCCAGGCACAAAATATATACAACAGCTCCAGACAAAACTTGTTTGGTGTTTCCTTGGCCCAGTAACTAGTGTGGCCCTGATGTGGTTGTGCTGATACCCACATGTGCTGGTAACCTGCTAAAGAGGTGTTTGCATTGACTGGATTACTGCTCACCCTGAGAATACTCTCTCAGTCCTGTTTATTTCATCATTTGAGCTGTTTTGCTGTAGTAAATCTGGAGAAAAGATCTTGGAGGAACACATGAGCACACTATTTTAATGCTACTGGTGTAAAGAGACATCCTAAGGAAAAATCCAAAGGTCTCTGGACTGAGGCTGTTTAGCCTGTTGCAGAAGTATTTCTTTTCCAGCTGGGCACACAGGTGCTGTCTTCTTCTGTACAATGACATGTCTAGGTCCCAGCTGCTTTTTAACTTTCATTCCTATTCAGTCACAAGTTCACAGGATGTTCTTGCCATCACCTCTTACTGATGTCCTTAGAGAAAGTCCAGTCTAACAAGAGGGAGCAACCTCCAAAACCTCATTAGACGTATTCTCTCTTCTCAGCAGAGCTATTACCAACCTGCTTTTTGTCAGCAGTTTGTGAACCAACTCATCCATGTAGTCATCCTCTCATATGGGAAGAGCCACATGATTCCCTTTTATGTTGCTTCATATGCAATCATGGCACAGGTGAGCCAAACCAACTGGTTCAGAAATTAAAGAGTGAGCTTTATGGGGAGGACTTCAGCACAAGTCTGATTTTCCCTTTAACAAAACATTTGCTGTTATTCCCTCATCCTAAATCTGTAAGCCATATTTTCACAGCAACTTCCAGAGCAGCAGTTTGGCACCTCTGGCAGTGGCAGGCCTCTTTCTGATCCATTTATTTGTGTTTAGGATTGATTATGCACCCATGTTTCCTGTTTAGCAGTGTTATGTAATACGCTGTAGGCTATTCTCCATTACACCACCCAGCCAGAAATGAAGATGATATTTAGATTTCTTCAGTGAAGCAAGAGCTCAGTATCTGGAGCAGAACTGAGAACTCAACCCTTATCTTTATCATGATAAAAGGAAGATTTTTTTTCCCCACGTGTTTCATAAGGCAATGGAGTATAAAAATAGGACTGAACCCAAGTTACAGTTCAATCAGACATCAGCCACTCGGATCATTAAGATAAAGTTGAAATGCAATTAATGATTTTTTCAGGTTTGGCTGTCAGAAGACCTTAGAGCTTAAATTCTGGTATCCATTTCCCTAATACCCATTTTTCTTGTAAAACTATCCTAAAAATTGCATAGATCAGATTGTATAGGTGAGAATGGATTATTTCACAATACAGCAATCAGTTCAGAAAAGTCTAAGCAACTGCTATTCTAAGATCTAGTAATACTTTGTCACAATACCTATTCACCACTGAAATTCTTCATCTTGTTCATATTTGTAAATGTACATCTGGTACTTGGAATTCAGACAAGAACTACCAGCGTATAAAATGACAAGATTCTTCTAACAAGGTGTTGCATCAAAAATCATAGTGTATGTGGGGGGAACTGTGTAACTTACTTTGTATTTCTATACCTCCAGGTTTTGTGCACAGCTGCTCCTTTTTAATTTAAAGGGCAGCCACAAGACATCATCTTACTTATATAAGTGATCCTTTGTTTTTGTGAATAACAAAGTTCTGCAAATTTGTGTAACGTGTTTTTTTGGCAAATTACACAAATGCGTGATCAGTACTACGGAAATAGTCAGAACAGCAGAATATAGGGCACTGTAATTTCATACTGCCAAACCAGGAGTTCAAAACTCGTGAGTCAGATCTCCTGAAATTACAAACCTAGTGGCTTTATTCACCTTCTGTTTTTTTCATTTTTACCATATGTTCAGATTACACTTTTAGGATTTTCCATGTAATTTGCAGGTCTAATTTTTTTTTTAATAATTAAAATAGCTCATTACACCATCTCACAACTGAAATCAGCCTGCCTCAGATTGATTAGACTCAATAAAATCATGGAAGTTGTCAACACTGATTAAACTAATGATTGATGCTTCAAGGAATAATTATTTTATAATTAAGTGGTTTTTAAGCACATTTATTTACATAGACTTCTGACAGTTTGCTAAGGCATGATTAAAAGCTGAAGTTAGTATCACTAGTGCTAACTAGATAAACTGGTGTACTGTGCATTTTAGGCAGTGAGTTCTTTATTCCTTTAACTGCAGCCTCCTTTCCTCACAGCCAGTACCAGCTCTACTGAGTCCTGACTTTAAAGCAAAACGTTTTCCAGCAATCACAGAATCAGATCAGAAAAGGACCTTAACAGGTCATTTAGTCCCATTTTGTGTTTAACCAAGATTTCCTTTCTTGCAATTTAAGGCAATTATTTTTATTCATATTGACTTTGGATATGAGAAACAGTTGTGCCATTTTTCTTTGCAACCAGATTTTTATATGAAAATCATTGTGTTTTCCCTCCACCATCTCTTCTGTAAAATGAGTTAAAATTACTCAACCTGTACTCAGAAGCAAAGTCTTCTTGGTTTCCAGACATTCACTGCTTTCTCCTGGATTCTCTGCATGCACCTTGTATCTTAGTTTTTGAGTGCTATGCTCAAAACTGGAGATGTTACCAGCACTTGCCTTGGTGGTTCTGAAGAAGCAGATGACAATCCAGTTTCTACATTTCAGTTTTTACCTCTATTTGCATCATGATGTTGCACATCAATTCTCAGAATATGATCCCAAATAATGCATCAGTTCTTCTCAATTGAAATTGAAAGGGTAGATTTCATTTAGATATAAGGAAGAAATCCTTTACTGTGAGGATGAGTGAGGCCCTGGCACAGGTTTCCCAGAGCAGCTGTGGCTGCCCCATCCCTTTCAACGCCAGGCTGGATGGGGATTTGAGCTACCTGGTCTGGTGAAAGATGCCCCTGCTCATGCCAGGGCGCTGGAATGAGATGGTCCTTAAGGTCCCTTCCAACCCAAACCATTCTAGATTCTATGAAATTAAGCAGCTGTTCCTTTACTTGCATGGGTAATGGTTCCAGCTTGCACTTGTTCCTATTAAATATCTTTTCAGATCCCATCTGCACCTTGCCAGGATTATTCTAAATTGTAATCTTATCTGTTAATGTACCTGAACTTTGCTTGGTCTTGTTTGAAGATATTAAAAGGATACTCTATACGGTCCAGGGGGTAAATAAATGAAAACAGAGAATTCTACCTAGAACTGCTGTGATGGGATTAAACAATATACTGCAATTATTGGCAGTAACTGTAAATCTGGAAAATTTTGTTAAGTCCTAAACAAGATAAATGGTGTACTGTAAACACAGGCAAAGACCAGTACTTCTTACTCAGAGATAAGTATGTGATTAATCTCTCAGATTTACTGATATGCTTAGTGTGAACAATTTTTATAATAATTCAATGGTAGCATGATATGAATGCCTCTTGCTTTATCATTTCTATGATTATTTGATAATTATTAATCTCTGTTTTCCCTCTTGTCATTAGCAGGTGAATGGGAAAAACACAGGAGCCAATGAAGCAGGTGGTACCTTCACCTTGTTGCCAGGACTGTTATCAACTCAGGTATAAGATGGAATTAAATCAGAATAATAAGCAGATTTGTAAGAGTATTTTATTAAAGATACTGTCGCAAAGCACAGAATAAGCTTTAAAGATGATGATAACTAACCTGGAATGTCTTTACGGATACTCTACATAGACTGGAAGTAATTGCTAAGTTACAGAACAGTCACAGCCTGTTCTAGATGTCCTACACTTTGCATACTGTTGAAGGCGATGCTATAAATGTATTCCCTTCTGTCTTCTGCTTTGTGGTGGTCCTGCTCTTAAGGTCCTTCATGTTTACTATAGAAAGCACATCCCATTTGCTCTTAGGTATCTTGTGCCTCCTCCCTGCAGAGTCCCCAGTGGTATCTGGCTTTGCCCAGATATTCACCATCCTCCCCTTTACTCCATAAGGTGAATGGGACTGAGGTGTCAGCATTCCAGTGCTGCATTGGGGGCTTTTAAAATACCTACATTAATGTTTGAGGTGTTATGTGTTAATAGAGCTGATACCTTCAACATATAGATGCTGAAACATTGGGGGCTACGTAATTAAGCAACCACATTCAAAGATATCTGAACATCTTTTCTTGCATTTGTATAGTAACTTTATAAACTCAAAAAGAGCAAAGCAAGCACAGACACATGCCCTATACAAGCTGCAATACAGACAATATTGTACACACTTTGTAACAACAGTAATGAAAATGATGCCAATTATAAATAAAATTATAGACAGACTCTTCTTGAGATAACAGTTATAGTGAACAATGAAACATCCTTTTATAATCATGAGTAGAATTAGTAAAATATGTAACTACAGCAGAATATAATCAGCATGTTTAGTCTGCTTACATGTCTTAATTTGATCCACTGTTGTCTGAGGGAAGCAAAAGAAATTGATACTTTTATAATTCATGCTTCCTAATTTGGAACATTTACTGCCTTATTACTTTTTTAGTTAGAGCTTTTCCCTCCACCCATTAATTTAGTTGGAAACATTACTATTCCTAAAATGTTCAAATATGAACATGAATGTCTGATTCTTTTCTTCGAGCCAGCTTTTGCAAGGCTTAGCTCCGGAACAAGATGCACCCTGTGCCCTGTGAAGATTATTTTACATTTACTCATCTCCTTGTCGGTAAAAAATTTTCACCATTCTTTTTAAAAGAACAGAGCACCATTTCTTTACTCTCCACATACAAGCACTGTGCTCCATGGAAGGTCCTCTTCAGCTTGCAAATGATGATCATGGCAGCAGGGGAAATCATGGAGCTGGATCTCTCTCACCATCCTGTCCTTTCTTAGGGACCCTCTGTCCTCAGTTTTTAAGATTTTTTTTCACCTCTTACTCTTTTATTTTTTTTTTCTTTTTTAACACTTGATAGTTTAGCATTGTGCATGAGTATACACTTGTAATGTTTGAACTAAAAAATCTACAGTTTTTCACAACTCTAAGAAGCCGCATTTCAGAAAAGGAGCACTCCAGCATGTGGATAGAAATTTTGCAAATTCATTTCACTGCAGCCCTTAACACCTGGCATCTGCCTCTTTTGGCTGTCTGCTCCATGAAAGACTTCAAATTTGTTTCTTACAGCTGCAAGTAATAGTCACAAGGAAGTGAGATTTATGATACATAGAAGAGTCCAAAACAACTTTTACTGCATGTTCTAATTTGACTGCTTTGGTGCCTTTTGCGACTGCTGCAGTATGTCAAAAAAGCAAAGGTGGTGCCAATTCAGATCTGGCACACGAGGTTCTGAGTTTTTATGAAATCTTTTGCCGACCAGTTCTTCCTCATGTCTTCTCCAAATCTGGTTCTCTCAGTTGTTCAGAAGCTTAGAAGTCCCTATTTCACTACTGCCATGCAGAAAAGAAATGCAAGAAAAATATTAAAAGTCAGAAGCCCGCACTGCAGTACTGTATTTGCTAGCATGATGTGGTCCCTCCCACCTCACCATGTGTGGTTTTGCTCTAAATACCCATCCTTCAGTTATATTCAGAGCACCCACCACAGTCAGGAACTCTTTTAAAAAGCTATACATTTCCTTCAACCCCTAGCCCACCAGAACACAACCTTAAACAATGTTGTCATCTTGTTTCAGAAACTTTTTCTTCTTTTTCCTTTGCCTTCTGTTTTCAAAACAGCTACAGATTTGCTGAAGAAAAACTTCACTTCCCAAACCTCACAGAAGTAAGTTTTCATACTGTATGTGTTAGTTTCCAGCAGTGGTTTATGGCTTGGCTTAGTGGATGCTCAAAAAATTGCAAAAGTATTATTTCCCCTCAGCCACTCACAGCTTGGAACACCCCCACTCTGGAATACTTCTTACTGCTTCATACTTGACTGTATTTTTGGTTGTGTTTTTTTTTATCTTACCTAACTCAGAGGTAACTGTTATGTATTTACTTGACACACACACTCTCATACACACCCCAAATTCTTATTTTATGTTAAATGCAGATAAATTATATAAATATTTACAATTTCTGGAAGTGTCTTTCAACCACACTAGTTCATGACAAATATGAGCAGCATTGTGTCCAAGAGGAACAATCAAGAAACTGGAAATGCCTGGTTGTAACTTTTGAGAACAATCCTCAAGGTTGTTGGGGATTTTTTTTTTTTTGCACACTGACTTCTTTCTCTGGATATGTGAATCACATAGTACAAAGTATATGATAGTGACACTTCTGGATAACTTACACTTGGCTGTTTCTATGAGACTGTGGCAGCCCTGGCCCAAGTGGTTGTGGCTACACTGCAGAGGCTACACATGAAGCCAGGTTTAGCAGCTCTTTGCATTACTTACCTGCCAAAGCATCCTCGAGGCCAGCTCAGGGCTGAATTTCCTGGCACACCTTGCAGAGGAAAGCCTCAAGTGATGCTCCACACCTCGGTGTGCACCGTGGCCAGGCCCTCACTCACTTGTCTGGTATTTTATCTGCCCTCGGTGCCATGTCACATACTTAAGGTGGGCAAAAAGGCCAGCTGGGACAAAAGGCTTTTGTGCCATGAGGGTAATGTGAATAGGGGAAACATGTCTTGGGCAAACTGCTCCCTTCGAAGTACTGCTGGTTCTAGCAGCAAGGCCATATGTCTGCCTACCACATCCTTAAAATCTTGAAGGGGAATTCAGTGGACCAGTGCTGTTATTGCAAAGTAACTCTTACACGACTAGCTCAGAAGTCAGGAAGTACTTTTTTTTTCTTTTTTTTTTTTTTGTAAACTAACAAAGGAGGAGAAAAAGGTGTTCTAACTACAATATGCATGTGAGCACTGTTTTTCCCCAGGTGACATCAGTTTGCCATTGCTGTTCATTACCATGCTGGCCTGCACTTTGCAGTCCAAAATCTCTGTCATTTCCAAATCGTGGAGAACTCTCACACACGACTGAGCTTCATTCCACCACCTCCCTGAAATACATCGGCTGTGCTGTGTGGGACCACCTCTGAGTGCGGGAAGGTGGGCTGCCTGTGACTATTAAATCACATTTTTCCGATGAGACAGCAGAAACACTGCTAATCAGTGCCAACTGCGGTGGGCTGGGTGCAGCACACACGGAGCTGCCGGCACTGCCGAGAGCCTGTAGCCCACAGGAAGGGAGGTCAGAGGTAAAACGCTGTGCCCTCCTCGCAGACTAAAATCGCCCAGCTGCCCTAAGCACAGAACTGTTTGGGGATGCACAGCCGCGGGAGGATCTGCTTCGCCCTCCTCCCAGCGAATTGGAGCATTCCAGCCCTGGGAATAGGGACAGGCGCGTTCCCAGCGAGCCACGAGATGGCGCTGGAACCCCCATCCCCGCATCCCGAGCCTCTGCAGAATTCCAGCCTTTCCCAGAGCTTACAGAGGATGCGGCTCCTTCCACTTCATCAAAGTCAGAGGAAGTCTGTGATTAGCTGGATGTTTACAAATAAAAGGAGGATCTGGAGACAGATCAAAGATGGCTCTCCAGATTTGGCTCGATACCAGGTTCCTGCGCTAACAGCATCTGCATGGGTTCCACTCTTATGTTCAGTGGCTGAACTTGGTCTATCTCATCATGCATTAATAATGCTTTTTCAAGGCTTAGTGCATTTATTAGAAGTCTGAAGATTCAGCCAGCTAAGGACCTGAAGAAACAAAACAACAACACGCCTCAGCCAACAAGATCTTCCAGGTTCCATCTAAGAGAAGCACCCACTGGGTTCTTCCTCACCCTGCTTCCTGCAATGTAAAGGGAACCAAGAAGCAAAGATAAGCACTGTTCCAAAATCCAAAGGATGTAGTACTTCAGACTTAGTAAACAGGAGCAGTAGCTCCTCTAACATTCTCTAACAATCTAAGTAGCTTGGATGGTCCAATCACACCATATATGCTTTTCACTGAGGAGACTGTAGTTCATCCAGGATCTCAGTGACCTTGTCACAGCCCAAAGGACCAGGGAGAGAAGTAGATGGGAGATAAAAGATGTGGCATGTGAAATACACTGAGTTAATGTATATCTGTTCTAAGGGACATCTTTGTTTTGACTCTGTGTAACAAACCAACATAGCTTGTGAGGTCTGGAAGGCCACAGACTATTCCTTCTCTCATAGCAGTGCTCTGTTTGAAGTTGGTATTTCTATTTGGGGTCTAAGCCACACTGAACTTGATCAAATAAACATTCTCCAAAGGAAACTGCCTTTGAACTATTTAACTCTTTGCACAACAAACTAAAGCTGAAAGAACCGTAACAATTACTGTAAAATCTCTTGTGTCTTGACTTATTTTCCTGTCTTTTTTTTTCTGTCTTTTCTGGCAGAACTGACCGTGTCAGCAATGGCCAGTAAGATCTAAGTGAAACACAATCCATCTGAAAGCAGACTAGGTGGGGCTAACCCTCAGACTTCCAGGCACGCAGAGTATTAAGTGTCATATTTTACAGCATATGTAAGTGTACACAACTTCTATTTAATTCATCTGATAACAATGTAGCTCAGACATCTCAGCTCTCTCCTGGGTTGTGAGACATACTAAGACAATTTCTTCATCAGTTCCAAGAGATCCTACCCTGTATTTCCTCTTCCTAAAATATTACTGTATCTATCCTTTTCCCAAAGGAGGGATACTTTAGATTTTGTCTCTTAAAATGTTTCTGATTTGTTCTAAGTAATTCAATAACCAATGGCTAGAAACCAGAACCTCAGTAATTTGGAAGCTGGGATTCTACCAGTAGGTACCAGTAGGAAACCCACAGGCAGGGAAGAAACCAGAGAACCATCTTTAGCATCCTAAATAAAAGCCCTACCAACAACTTGTGTAAGAGGAGCGTAACCGATACCAGAAGTCTGGTGTATCTGCTGCCAAAACCAAAAGTAATTTATGGTATTCAGCAAACTCTATTTTTAGCCAGCTTATCTGCATTTCCACAAACTTTCATGGTCTTTGGGGCTTTTTGCCATGGAGAGAAGGACAATATGTTATTTTTCTCTTTAATTTTCTGGGGAGTCAGAAGCAGAAGTCCCTCTGGTGACCACCCGCAATGTAGTGGGATGGTTACCTAAAAAGGAGAGAACAGGTATTACTGAGTTGTGTAGTTCAACTGAACATGTGAGAACTATTAAAGAAAGCAACTTCTTAGCCCTAATCATTGCTTTAAAACAGGAAGAAAGCAAATCTTCCTTTTCAAAAAACAGAAGGCAAATAAAAGAGCCAAAAGGATGCATTTCTAAAATAGCAACCTTGTCATCAGGGGAGATGGGGAAAGAGAGAGGGGGAAAGACTGATTTTTGCATCTTTTGTGTTGGCAACACAGCTGCTGCAGAGACCTTGGCAATTGCTGACACTGGTGGCACTTTGCCTGACAGACAAATTGAGAAACTAAGGATTTACAACAATCCTGATTTCCAGTGGATTTCCTACAATCTACACAGCTTCTAGGATTTAGAGGCCTATAAGGGATGCGCTCATTCCCTGGCAGGAGTCTGGGGATATCTACAGAACTACAAGACATATTTATCTGAAGTCACATCTTATTTGCAAACAAAAAAAAATACACCCCAAAATCTCACTGATGCAAATCACATGTGAGTTTGAGTGAAAACAATAAATGCAGCAGAACTTAGTCAGAGAAGGAAGTTCTTGAACCATTTCTTTTTTTTTTTTTTCTCCCACCGGAAATTCTACATGCAGCATTGTTTTTGTGGTTGTAGCTGCAGGAAGATTTACTATGTTTTTTTGTATGCCAGGAGGCATAGGAAAGGATTAAACCTTTTCATTTTCTTGCAAAAGAATCAAAGATCCTGGTCACGTCTGAACCTCAAGGTTGCTGGGGTGAGGTGTGCCATACTGGCTACACAAAAGAGGCAGTCAAAGCCTGGCCTTGGACCATCTGAGGATTTCTCATCTCACAGTTCTGTTATGTTCCCTTTAGTATATTAATATGAAACTTTAGAAATGTATTTCCAACCACTCTTACTCAGGGAATCTGAGTGAATTACTGAAAACCGTTTCTCTAAAAGCACAATGCACAACATTGTTTTCTCATGTCTTAAATTAATAAAAAATCCCCACCCTTCAAGATATTTGAGGGTAAAAATAACCCAAATAAAGATCTGATAGCTTTTCTCCTATGAAGCTGGCACTGGCCATTCAAGTACATTAAAAGGAACATGGGCTGTTTGTTTCAGGGCTGAATATTTATAGTCATGATGAAGTGATTCCTGAGTCATGAGCACTACTGCCCTGTTACAAATTAAGATTTGTCTTTCTGAATTAAAAAAATAAAATCACAATTAATTCCAGAATTGTGGAAGTGACTGTAAAAGTAGCAAAAGACACTTGATTTATAAAATGTGTCCTGATTTTTGGCATCTTTCTCCTACAAAATCTCAGCCTACTCACACGTCTCAAGAATACACCGCACAGCAATATTTTAAGAGTTTTTTTTTGAAGTTGGAAGAAAATACAGAAAAGCGGTTTATAGCTGAGAGCTACAGAAATGTCAGCTTTTGAAAACATGTTCCTAATTTCTAGCCTTCAGCAGACTTTATAAAGTCAAATTAGTCATGCTTCATCTTGTAGGTCTTTAAATCTGCGGCAAGCATCAAACCAGCTGAGAATTAGGGAAGTCAAAAGATTTGATTTTTAACCCTCTGAGACTGAGAAGCACTTAAAAGTCAGAAGCACACAGGGATAGTAACAGATACTGCCAGCATCAGCTTAACTTACACATGGAATTACCCCAAGCTTTCAGCATTAGACCAATATGAGATAACTGTCTCCCCTTACTGAGAAAAGCAGCGAGGGGCACAGGGCAACAGAGGAGCTCCACAGCTACATCTGGGCCCACAGCTGGAGGGCAGGAAGGCCAGAGGAAGGTGGGAGCCATTCCTGGTGTTTGGCCAGACAAGGGGCCCAGCTCATTCCTGGCCTCGGGCCAGGCCAACCACACAAACCCAGTGGTGCAGAGCACTACCCAGTCTGCTTCAAGAAACACTAAGAAAGCTCCAGAGCATATTTGTGGGATGAGCTGAATGCAGGAAGGTTTCCAGTTCTCACGAAGAGGGCAGACAGCAGAGATGTGTCTCATTTGTAAGAGGTTGGGCTGCCTTTTTCCTTATCAGGAAATAGGAGATGACTTTAAGAGTTCAGCTTCCCCGAGGATGCTTGGGGGAGACAGAGACCAAGTTAAATTCAGGACATGCTCTGAGTTCCGGTACAGCTCGTTTAAGCAAAGGAGCCCCCTCCCAGCCACTCATTCCTCCTCTCGTGCCACCCCTTCTATTGTGCTTGCACAAGATCTGACACAGAGATGGAGAGGGAAGCACAGCAGGGAACTGATCCAGCCAAAAACCAGCCCCACAGGGAATAGAAAAAAGCCTGCTGTTTGATTCAGTTCATTGTGCAGCTCCATAGATATGTGCTCTTTGACAATGGAGAGGGTGGCACACAGGGGACAGGAGAGCTGAAACTAATGGGGAGAAGTAAAGGGCTGCCAGGGCTCAAGGTGGCACAGCCTCCAGGAGCAAATTCATGTCCTCACCAATAGCTCTGAGACTCTTGATGGTTTAGCACTAGAGTATTCAAATACAATCGTGTAGTCAAAATATTCACTTTTATAACAATGTATTTTTAATACATTCTCCAGGGCAATATATTTTCTGTCTACAGCTTTGAATAAAAAAATACGCTGAATTATATGTTTTACACCAACTGAAAGTATTACGTAGAGAAATCCCCTAATTAAAGCATAAATTCTTAGAATTCCATGAAACTCTATTTATTGAAGTCAAGATTTTTCCACAGACCTGTTGGCTACAAATGTCATTATACACAAATGTAAATACTCTTTGAACTAACAAGTCAGAAGGAAACATTTACAAGTATATATATATATATATATATATATATATATATAAACATTTTAAACATCTCCTCTGAAACTGAAAAATAAGCTCAATAGCTTTTGTGATATTTTAAAGCTCATACAGGGTCTTCATGAATTCCCTCTTTTTAACTTTCAGTAAATCTTGAAAGCTAAGAGCTAGGCTGGCCACTTATAAATTCTCAGGATTGCAGCCCATAGCACTGCCAAAATGGGAAAAACAACAGAATGCAGAGAGGTCCTCCAAAAATAAGAACAGCAAATCACTTAAAATATAACTTATGGCATCCAGCAAATCTTTTTCTTTCTGGCTACGCCTTGTGCAATGCTTACACCTCCAGTTTTAAAGATCCTTAAGTGTTTTTACATGCTAATATTCACTAAGGAGACGGAAAGGAACAATGTTATGGCAACAGAAAAGCACAAAATAGAGGAAAAGAACTCTTACATAAAGTATTTTTGCTTCCCCTTCATGATCTTTCAAGTAACAGCAAAACTTCTAGGATAACTGCTGTTGATTTTTTTTCATGTCTGCTCTGTCTCCACATTAAATCATTTCTGTATGGTAGGAGCACTGAAACACCATCATTTCACTCTCCTGCAGATGTTGTCCCATTCTGGGGAGAACATTCAGGAGTGGCCAGCCCCAGGCTGTCTCAGCACCCAGACCTTCTCCCCTTTCACAGCACCCAAATTCCTCCTGTCACTCCAGGCCTTTTCTCTAACAGTCCCATACTGTTCCCCTGCATGATTTTACATGTCATCTCAAATACTCATCTATTTAAATACCCATCTACTTGCAAGCCTGGCTGACTTGTTTATGTTCTCCTATATTCCCCCTGATCACTTCTTAGACTACTTCAGTCATTCTGATTTTTTCTGCCTACATGTGCGTAGATCCACTTTTAAGCTTCCCTGCAGTGCAATTCATGCTCTTTGTGAGCCTTAGCATGGACTTTCATACATGTGAACTCCAAGGCAATGGGTTTTGTTTCCCTAGAACAGGAAAAAACATCAATTCAAGTTCAGTTGGAAAGGTTTAACAAACTTTACTTTGAAAGGCTACTACAACAACACAGCTTATAATTGAAAAACAGAGGTATTCAGGGTGTTTATAAAGTTAGATAGTACACGTAAATACCATCATTCCCAGTTTCTCCATTTAACTTCTGTAGTTGACAGGTCTACTTGCACTAGGAAGTCACATTTTTTAAGAAACATTTTAGGGTCAAGTTCAGACCAATAGGTTCTAAACAAGGGCTCCTGATCCTGAGCAGGAGGCTCTATAAATCACCCTTAGCCCTTCACCGAATTTCGGACTGATCCCTTACATGGCAGAGGTCACCTCCTGCCTTTCAGCCAGGTCTTTAATGTGGGCTGTGCTGTGTCCCCGCAGCGCTGCGGGCAGCGGGGCCGGCCGTGCTTGGTACGCATCCGGCGTTGGTGAGCTCATGGCTCAGGCCACAGCTCCCCAGCCAAGCTGAGTCATCCTCACTCCGGTCTCACAGCCGGGACATTTTATCCACTCCCCGAGCCACCCCTCCATGCCACCTTTGGGATTTGCTTCCCACTGCACAGCTCTAATCCTGCCTGTCTGCCTTTGCCACTCCCTCCCACTCAGGATCTCTTCTCACATTCAGTCCTCCCACTTCTCCAGTGCCACGAGACCCTCCTGCCAGTTCCCCCAGTGCACTCCAGTTCTCCTTCACTTCCCTTGACTGCTTTTCCCAAGCCAACTGATACTGTGAGGGATAACCTGCATGTCAGAGAATCACTGTGTGCAGTGTATGAAGCCCCCAGCTCTGGAGTGCTGGAGTATTCCTGTATTCGTGCCTGTGCTCTTTTGGCTCTAGTGCTGTTGAGGACTCAGTTGACTTCAGCATCGTACAAGAAAACAAAGGACTGAGCAGTTAAAGCAAAACACTAAAAGCTCACTAAACTGTGCCCAAAGCAGCTGGTGCCTCAGAGCAGCTGCTGGCTCAGGACCAAGGGCTGGTGGGGGAGCCTTCTCCATCACCGCAGAAATGCACACGTCTGCCAACCAAGAGAAATCCTAATGCACATTTGAAACTGAATAAATGCAAGGCAACTCACAGTACTTTTAATAGTTGGAGATTCTAAATTGTATATTCACTCCTCTGAATAGTCTAAAATTAAAACTCGATAGCCTTCATAATCCCCAAGAAACTAGGAATGAAACTCAACTCTGACAGAAACAAGCACATGAAAGCCCTGGACTAGACTGTCAACTCTTGGCTCCTATTCTCAACTCCACCACTGGCACATGAGGTGATAGAACATTTCAGCTGGAAGGGACCTGCAATGATCATCTAATCCAGCTGCCTTAATTGCTGATCGAAATTACTTTCCTCCCTCCGTAGCTCAGTGGGAAATAGTATTACTGCCCTCCATGATAAAGTGAGATCTGCTGGGAGAAAGTACAACTAGGTTTTATTTTTTAATTGTTTTCTCCACAATTACGTATCAGGATCCTTTTCTCCACAATTATTAGGATCCTTTCTTCCACCCCATCACAAATCACACCTAACAAACGTTTAGACAGCTGGTGCCTAAGAGTCAAAGCCAGTTGCTCTCTCAAAGGCCAAAGTGCCTCACTGAATTGGTGTCAGCTGGTACTTAGTAGGATTTTTAAATTCAATTAAATTAAGAGACAAGCTGCACAGATTAGGGCTCTGCTAGAATCAGAAAGAAATCTTAAAAGGCGTAAAATATCTTTACATTTATTAAGCAAACTTTGCAGTCTTTTCTTGTTATATTCATGTTGAAAAACAGAACATTCATAAAGTATCATGAAAACAAGAAGCAAGAAAACCTTAAGGTCCCAAGCAATGGGACTATCTCCACACTCACCCTGCTTTTAACTTTCCAACACAAGCAGCAAGACACAGTTCATAGCTAGGCTGAAAATGCAGTGTTCAGTGCACATGGCCATACTGCATTCCTAGCAACCCACCACAGCCACTCCTTCTTTGTACGTTAGGATAAGCAGGTTAAATATACCCACAGAGGTACAGACAGTGAAAGAAAGGCCAACATCAGTAGAACAGCTCTGCTAGGACTTCCCGTCTGGAAAATGACCACTGTGCTGGAAGCCCTCGGTTATCCCGAGAGTCATTAATTCCCTTCCCCCGGTGCACAGCAGCCCGAGCCTGCGAGGGTTAACTGAGCCTATGTGCTCTCACCCCTGGGAAGCACCTTCCAACAAAGCCAAGAAGCAGGGGACCAGGACAGCCAGCTCTGCCCCTGCAGCAGAGTCAGAGCCCAAAGGATTATTTCTTGGCATTGTTGGTTTGTGTTTGGCTTTTTTTTTCATTTTGAAAATTAATTTGGAGATTACGAACAATTATGCTCTTGCACATTAATCGCTGGCATCTAAAATTTTCACATGAAGAAACAACACATGGAAATATTAAAGCACTCATCTTACGGACATGGATCCGAGAACTGTTTAATAGCAGTCAGTGAAGGGGTAACATTGTGCTTTTAATCTACAGTTTAAAAATAATGATTTGTATATCTATGTAGTAAAACAATAAAATTAAGAACAGAAACTGGTATTAGGAAACAGTGAAAATGTAATAATTAAACACATGATGCTTTTCAAAGCTTTATACTTAATGAGCCTAAATAGACACCTATGGTTAGGAGGGTCTTAAAAAAATAATAAAAAAGAGACTTATTTTCAATTTTTTTTTCCTTTTCAAATTTTTTTTACTATACTTATGCTTTGCTTTGGTGTTCTCTCTGCTGCCAACTTAATGCTTTAACAGTATGTTTATGCTTATGTTCTTTTCAAATGCTTGGCATTATAGTGAGATCTCATATCTTTCCTCAAATTAAATTTTGCTCCACATACTCCACATGTATACAGATGAACATCCCTGTGCTGCTCCAGTTGCTCATTATTTGGGAATATCTGAAAGCAGACCTGGCATATAGTCTCTCCAGCTGATAAGTGAGATATCATATGCCGTACATGGTCATGTTTTCGGAAGTTTCCTTGATCACAAATGGAACAGACATACCTGGCCATGCCTTTGTGCATATCATTGTGGAGCCGCAACTGGCGCTCTCTTAAGAACTGCTTCCCACATGTCTGACAAACAAACTGTTTTTCCTTGGTATGAACGGTATAGTGTTCCCGCAAGTGGCAACGCTGATAAAATCCTTTCCCGCAAAGGTTGCAGAAATGCTTACGCCTGTGATCCCTCTCGTTCTCTTCCAACATGGAGTTCTTGAACAGATCTTGCTCCAGGCAGTTTGACATATGTTCAACCACTAGGTTTTCAGTATCAAAACGCTGGCCACAATTAGGGCATCGGAAAGGACAGGAAGAATGCTTGTATAACTGGTTTTTTTGAAGGCTGTTCATTTGGAAGTGACTGTCCCTGAAGTCCTCTAGCATCTCTGCAAACATCATGTCCCTTATTTCTGACTGCTCCTCGGGGTTTTCTTCCAAGTCCATTTTCTCCTCAGAATTTCTGATCCCATTCATGGTCAGATCCTGGGGTTCTCCACAGGTCTGTGCATGATCCTGTAGCTGCTTGCCTTTGACCAGTATTTGACCACACTTGCCACAAGCACATATATTTTCTATGTGTTTGGATAAATAATGAGAGGACAGATCTTCCTCAGTGATTGTTAGCCCACAAAGTTCACAGGGAGCATTCTCCACATCTTCCTGCACTGAAGAAGCTTTGCTGTTAAGGTGCCGTGGACTTTTCAAACACTTTCTTTCATCCTCATCCATGGATAAACGAGGCTTTAGAGTCTTCCGAGCATTTCTCTTCTCTCTCATCTCTTCCTCAACGTAGTATCTGTAAAGCGGCTCTTCCTGTTCATCGTCTAGGTCGTCATTGTCAGAAGACTCATTGCAGTCTTTATCTGCCACCTTGATAATATTAAAATCCTTCAGCTCATCCGTAGGATTGTCCTCTGGCTCCACCTTGATGATAATCCTCTTCCTCTCAGAGGCTCTACTTCCTTCTTCACCTGATGTCTCAGAGGCAACAGTGCTGCTTTTTCTGCTCGTGATGTTTGACACGGGAGACGATGAATCGTCCGCAGCATGGTTCGAGTCCCCCTTGTATTTTTCTGTTTGTGTGGAGATCATTTTAGAAGTAGAGTTCTTTTCACTAAAGTCTATCTTCTCAGCACTGTAGTACCTGGCACTTTGGTAGGAATGCCTGTTGGTGCATGTTAACACGTGCTCATCCAGTAGCTTTTCACAGCTAAAACTAAACCCGCAGCTGTCGCAGGTGAAGCTCCTTCCAAACCGGCGCGAGTGCGACACGCGCTCCTTCGTGTGAGAGAATTTGGATGTGGTGGTTTTTTTGCAGACATCAAACAGTTGCTCGGGGAAGCTGTTGAGGTGCAAAGGTTCTTCCTCAGGCTCTTTGTTATGGGATGTATTTACTGTTGAACTTGGTGGCTCCATGCCCCACCTGTTTGCTTCACTGCCATTTCTAGCAAGTGCGTCTTCATACATTCTCACACCAAATATCATTTTATTAGTCTGCGTGCTAGAAGCAGGAGATGAACACTTTAAACTATTTGAGTCTGTGTCCTGTATATCTTCTAGACACTCAGGTACATTATATAGCTGTAAATAGTTCATGGCCACTTTAAATTGCTCGAAATTGGCAGGGGCTGTCATAATTTTTCCTAAATACATGAACTGTAAAATAAGATCAAAGCATTCAGCACTAATCTTCATGTTGCTTAGATTCAGCTGGGCTGTAGTGTTTTGATGGTTCATAAAAAACATCCTAAAATAGGCGCTGCAGGCAGCAAGGACTGCTTTATGTGCTTGAAAATAAATATCATCGATAGCGATGCAGCAGTCGCACAGAAAGCCCCACTCTCTTTGCTTGTTTAGCTGCTGAAGGACATAGTTGCTATGGCTGGTTTTTGCCATCTTGTACTTCGATTACAGCCCTGCATAAAGAAAAAGGTATCTGTTAAATCATGAGCACAAAACCCAAAGCCTACTTAAACGTAGGAAGGAACAGCCATCTCTTTTCTCTCTAGATCTTCCTATTCTGCCAGTCTGCAGTACAGCTTCCTGTCTGGAGATCTCTGCTGCTAACTACTTACGAATATTGATGCCAGTGAAAGCATCCATAATTCCATGTGCTTACCACTAGACTTACAAGACTAGTAAACTAATAAACATAATCAGCACGCATGTCAATCAGAGCTGCTAGAATATAAATTAGCAAATATATCTCCAAGTCCTACAGCCAAGGTTTTCAGATATGAATTCTGAATGCAGAACTTCAAAAACTTCACAGGGTAGACTTCTGTAAGATGGCCCCAGGACAACAACTATACAAGGTAAGCTGGCTGTCAGAAACCACTCTTCAGTCTCAACTTGCCTTTTTACCTGTCAGTCCAACGGGCACATGATGCAACACACACTGGAAACCAGGCCAGGCTCAAACTGGTCTTTCCCTCCCCATTAAAGGAAATTAAGATACAACAGAGCACCCACACAAGCTACTCCACACATTTTGCTCTTTGTGGCAGCTGAGGGACTATCTCAACCTTCTCTGCAAGGCGTCCTGCAAACCAGGAACTGCAAACTCAAACGCCTTCTCAGAAGCAGAGGGCAGCCCGGCTGCGGTGGCACGTCCCACGTTCGAGCCCAGAGCTGCAGATGGTGACCAGGCGAGCTGCGTGACAGCCACAGGGACTGCAGAGGCAGGAAGTGGTGCACGCCGTGCCTCCAACTGCTCTCTAAACCACTCGTTCAGAGCGCTGAAATGTAACCAAAACACGTAGATGGGAAACCGGACAAAGAAAAACTCAGCAATGGAGAACTGAGAGAGCCGGCAAACCAGAGGTGGAGCCGCAGTGAAATGAAGCCTCGGCAAAGACTGGAGAGAAAGGTCTGCCAGTGCTGAGGGTAGCTCTGTGTGAAAGGACTAACTTGCCCTCAAGAGAAAAGAGGAATAAAATGTCATGGTTTATGTTAACAAAAATATCCAGAAGAAATGCAGTGTATACAGGAGCTGTGTGTTTGATTAAAGACAAACTTCACCAAGTGTGGCCAGCACCTAGTCACGACTCACTTTGGAAAACCTTTACTGATACACATAAGCTGTTCTAACTGCACAGGCTGAGGGGATCAGGAACCAGAAGAGGGTTCACAGAGAACACCCTAATTGAAATGAAAAATGTAAAGCAGTAATGAAGATTCTTAACGTTTTGAAAGGTTATTGCAAACAATACAAATAACTGTATGAGGTTTGTGCAAATAAAGTCCAGGCTAGCAAATAATATATACTAAAGGGCATTTTATGACTCAATGAAATGCATGGATTGATTTGCAACCACTCTTTCAACTGCCCAAAATTTAAACACAACACACACAAATGCTCCATTTTTCTTCTTATTTTCCTAACAGCTTATATCTCCTAGGGGAAAAAATGGGTAGAGAAATTAAATTCCACAATTAGTGTTGAATTCGCAAGTCATAGGCGTTGCCTGGCTTGTTAAGCAGCAAACCTAGAATTAAGTCCCCGTTCTTCATTCCACAAAGGACTGCCACAGCAAAGGCTCCCAAGTTCTCGAGAAAAGAACATGCTCACCCCACCCAGCAATATTCCTTACTGCCAACTCACACAGTAGCAGTTCCTATGGATCACCCCCAAGATCTTGTCTGGCAACAGGAACCTTGAGATTTGGGTTGAACTACACTGACAACGAGCATGTGAATGGCAGCTGCTCCTCTCCTCTCAACCCCACCCTCCACACCCAGAACTTCAGGGTAGCACCCAGCCATAATAATTCTCAGATTGGTTTGGCCCAGTGATGTCCACTGCAGAAATGCAACTCATTGAGTGGAATTCATTTCTCTTTTTTTACTAACTTGCAAGGCAGTGGCTTTGAAAGTATGAGAACCTCTGAAGCAACTCTACATCTTTTCAACAGAAACTGATTATTGTCTGTGTCACTGGGTGATTTCAGAAGTTTCTGTGAAGAACAGCAAAGCTCTTGACATCAGTAATAATAAAAGTGCACTTCATATTCTTCCAAGTGGTAACGTGTTTTGGATTTGAGGCAATTCATTAGATGCTTAAATGTTACTCAATCTATTGTATTAAGAATGGCAGCTGCATAATGATAAAGAATTAACTTCCACATTCTAAGAGTGAAAACCAACGAGAAAATGAGATGATGCCATCTAAGGCACCACTGGCCTCTTGGTGTGAGCTGCCAACACAACAAGAAAAGGCTCAGGACAGCTCATGTTAACTTCCCCATCCTCATAAAGTGGCAAGTTCAAAATGTTTTATTTAATTGTGGGGTTTTTTTCACTAGATATACTCCACTGTGTCCTCCAATAGAAAAACAGCAATACAAACAGCAAGCCTGTACAAAACAGGTGGTCACAAACTATCTGCAGGCACCTGCGACGGGGTCGTTTCCAGATGGTGGGAACAACTGACAGCACACAACCTCACCTTTTTCAAGTCTTCTTCTTTGAAAATGGTAAAAGCTATTTCTCCTTTTGATAGATGAAGTCCTGCAAAGCTTTCAGCATGTGGATCCTGATATGCAACAATGACCCACTGGCAATGCCACCACTCAGGGATAAAAAGGTGGAGCATGAGGCTGGGTGGCAAGGTTTCGGATTTGACATGTACTTGGTCTCTACCACGGTAGTACTACATGTAGGTATTAAAACAGAGTGTATGAGGTTATTTATGTTAATGACAGTGCTGGCATCCTCCCTCTGGATGCTGTATTAACCTGCTGGATGTAACTTCCCACCACAAGAGCCTGTGTCGGGCTATGTAAAACTTCGACACATTTCAACCAGCAACAGCAAAACTTTCCTTCTGAAACCTTGGACTGATTACTTTTTTTCCCTCCTCCACAGAAAACCTCAGCCAAAATGGTTCCAAAAATGAGGCTAAGAAAAAGCTTTCATGTATGCAGATTATTATTTTTTCATTTAGAAATTAGAAGTTTCTCTTCCAAAGTCTTTGAGGAGACACTTTATGTGGGAGAAAGCATTCTGTCTTAGATATGTTGTCACAATATAAAAATCTGCCTGAATTTGGCCAAACTATATGCTTCAAGAGGAGAAGATACAAATTATCAGTTTATTCACACTTAAGACTTTTCTTAGTTATTGAAACTTCAGATTACAGCCTAGCTAAGAACATTTCATCTTCTCGCAGCTGCTTAGTAAACAGGGGCCTGCCTGAGACATCCTCAGTGAAATCCCCTTTTGCACAGAGCTCTGCCATGGTTTTAAACTACAAAAGGGTTGATTCAGATAGAGGGAAGAAATTTTTTATTATGAGGGTGTTAAGACACTGGCACAGGTTGCCCAGAGAGGGGGTGGATGCCCCAAACCTGGAAACACTCAAGGCCAGGCTGGATTGGGCTCTGAGCAGCCTGATTTTGTTGATATCCCTGCTCATGGTAGGGGAATTGGACTAGATGGCATTTAAAGATCCCCTCCAATCCAAACCATTCCATGACTCCATGTGCCACCTCCACAATGTCACAGCTGATAGCAAATCTCCTGGAGATTGCTCCACAGCACAACTCACCACGGGGTCTCAGCTTCCCTTGTGGTAGCTGATAGAGAAGATGCCCAGCTCTGGCTGAGAGAGAGAGCCAGAGCCAGGAGGGGATGTAGGGAAAACACAGGGAGATTGGGAAATGTGAGGAGGATGTGATGGAAACCCGCTGGAAATCTGGAGAGAAGAAAAGGGCAGGCTGGGAGCACAGTGCTGAGCCAAGAGAAGGGCACTGGGATTAGGAAGCAGCAGTGGGAATTAGAAGTGGATGCAATGAGGGTCGAAACAGTGGAGGGAAGAAGCCACTTGGGCAAGGGGCTGGGAAGAGCCAGGCTGCAGGATCAAGGGCAGAAGGGGTAAAAACCACAGACAGGCTCTTCCTGGGGGATGGGTGGAAAACAATTGCAGCATTCATGCCTTCAGAGCAGGAACTGCACCCCAAATTCCCAATCCTGCCATCCCTTTGCCATTAACAAGCATGACAGGCTTGCTGACAAACTCCTTCCCAACAAGGGCAAGCTCTCAGAAAATGGTAATTTATCATTACTTTGTTACTTTAATTGCTAAAATGGCAATGATCTGCATTTATCACTCATGTGGGTGGATCAGTACTGCAAACTATTTTTGAAGTTTGCTTTAGGAAAAAACCCCAGTTATTAGAAAGAAAACAGGTCTTTTTACAGAAAATTCAAGATATACACATATATTATGTATATACCAAAGTATGTTCTTCCATCCCTCTTACCAAAATTTCCGTTACTCAGCACATCCTCTGGATCTGTCCAGGCCTGGATCTGAGCAGTACAAGACAAGATCCCTGCTCATTTGGCCAGGCACTTGGAGGATGTGAAGTGAATGAGAAGTGGGGGACAAACAGGAGCAACAATGACCACTGCTTGGAGAACATCATCCCATTGCTGTCAATACCAGGACAAGTAATTTCAACCTTTCAGTTTTGTTTTTTTTTTAATAAGCCTAGTTGCATTTTTTGGATGTCCAATTTATTCACACAGGTAAACACCACTGGTGGCAACTGAAGTCAGTGGGAGCTATCCTCTGTATGTATTAAACAGCAAGTATCTTGGAAAATTAAAGCTCCATACAGGTGAGTTTGTCAATCCAAAGCTTTTAATTATTTCTGATCCTCTTTTTCAAAGAGAGGAGAATCACCAGCCACTTGCCCAGTGGACTAGCACACTTTGTGTAGCATCCAAATCCTGGAGGCACCAACCTCACAAGTCCACAAGGAACCACAAGGAACCACCACAAGTGACTCCATCTTCAGCAGTGATTGATTTGTGTGGTAAATGCAGCAAAGGCCATGTTGTAAGCAATCCTGATTGATGCAGAAGTGTTCTGAAAAAATGTGCTAGAAAAGCATCTGATATGAAAATGAAAACTGAAGGTATTTGACTTGGGTATTTTCACTCTGATTTTCAAACTCCAAGTCTCCATATGCATTTTATTTCCCTAGTAAATATTTATTTTCACACAGCCAAGCTCTGATCCAAGCTACTTGTCTGCCACCAGACTTTTCTTTTGAAGCACCACTTAGATACTACTCAGATGTGACCATGAACAAGGTTAAATTGCACTACTACACTAACCAATTATATTGTTTTTAAGTCTGCTAACAAGAAAAAATAGCTATTTACTACAGCTCCATGCCATCCTTTCTTCACACTCGAAAGTTTTCTGAGATGTTTTAAAACAAAAGAAGTTTAAAAAGTCCTCAAGCAAAGAAGCAGTGAAGTTCTTTTGCTAACTTCTCTGTCTTTAAAACAGACATACCACAAGGTTCAGAATTCAGGAGCCTTTCAGCTCCTAAAATTAGTAGGTGGTTTTCAAAACCCAGCATTTCCACTGCTGAGCAGGCAAAAACACAGCACTTACATGCTTAGTTACTGGCTCCTTTTCTTTGGAAACCAAGAACAGGCTGGACAAAAGTGTAATAAATGAGTGGAGAATTTGGTGCTAATAGAAAATGAGACTGGAAAACCTCAAGCAAACAACGCCCAGTTATCCAAAAAACAAGCGCACGAGGATCAGAAAGCAAATCTCCCATCGCCGTCTGTCTCCATACCCCACCCTGGTGTGGGTTCCCAAGAACTCTTCCCCCTAATTTTGCCATTGTGGGTCAGATCTACCAAAAAGCCTGGATTCCTAAATGACAGAATTGACATGCTGCAGAAAATCCTATAGAACATGTATAAATTCTCCACACAACACCCAACAAGTTTTTGTGTTCTGCTACTGCACTGACCACCTTTTACCTAAATATACTCAATAGGAAGCCATAGAGATTGCTCTGGGTGCCTCAGTTTACACAAACACGGAAAAAACAGCAAAGAACTTGGTACCAGGTGACAACCGTCCACCTCAACAGCGAGTATGCATCAGTTTGCATTGCAAGCATAGCCTTGATCATAAATTAAAACAGCTATGGGAATTCCATGTACTGCCAGGGAAAATGTAATTAAGCTCCATTATTCAGGCCATGAAGGACTGAAGGTATAATTTATCCTCCTCTCCCAGCCCTTCCAATCGCCTGCCTTTCAGGCATGTCAGTTGGGAAGATGATTCCAGTGAGGCAGATACTCATCTTCAGACACATCCCGACGGCCAAATCCATTCATTTTGAACAGACTCCTGCGCAATGTACAGGAACAAGTTTCATGGCATTTGGGATAGATTTGAACCAGGGGAAGGGAAGACAGTCCAAAGCCTCCAGCATGAGCTGTCAGATGCCCCGCTCTCCACTGCTCAGCCAGCAGTTCTCTGCTGATTCAGCATCCATGCCCACAAATGAGAAACAGACGTCAAATTTTAGTAAGTTATGCTTCTCAACTGCTAACTGAAAATTAGTTAAGATACATTACATGGTCTTAGGTCAGAACACTCCTCGAAAGACAAGGAATACAGCTTGACAGAAAAAAATAAGAAAACTGAGTTTGTGCTAAAGCCCCATCTCAACTTCAAACAACTTTAGATCAGATCTAGAGAGTAGAAGTCCTAGAGAGACCTTATGCAGTCCTTTAAAGTAACTTGCTAGCCACAAAGGTTGACTCTAGAAAGTCACAGTTATCTTTTATCTGGCACCTTTACAGTTGTCAGGCAACACGGTAATGATATGTTTAAAAGAAACAATTAGTGGGGAAAAAAACTATGACACCCAATTTATGCTTTGCAGCAGAAAGATGAGCCCTTTCATCTCAGCTCTCTGAGTTACACCAACTTTCAACTTCTGGAAGCATCTTGGTGGTTTAACCACGTCTTGAGACCCTCAAATGAAGTCACAGGTGCCTTCCAGGAAAGGATCCTTGGCTAAATACAGGTTGCACTTCAGTGTAACAAGTTGCTGGATGCACATGAACAAAGCACGGTAACTTTCAACACACAGATCAGACTACAGGTTTTTTTGACTCTTCCTGGTCTTAAATGTTTCACATTTTACTTTCAGCATACTAAAAATAAAAATAAGGCTACTAGGGTCTCCATCCAGTCAAATAGGTCTAATATGGGGGAGAAAAAGCAACAGGCAGTGAATTCTGGAGTTTTGCAATGACACTGTGTGAACAAATTAAAAATTACCAGACCAATTTGAGGATATAAACGGTCCTCATGCAAATTATGTCAGCTGTTGTGCCCACACACTGTGTCCGCAGCAGAACTCTTTGGGTGAGGGTGTTTACCATACCCCTCCATTCCCTCGGGAATGGTGTTTACCATTCCTAAGCAAAGGCAGGGCTGAATAACTCAACTGCTGGAGAACCACTGCCCAAACTGAAAAATGAACACATGGCTTCTCACTCTACATGTGTGTAGGTCCAGAACAACTCTAGTAAGAGGCCCAGCTCTAACAAGTAAGAGAAAGGACACCAGGCTTTTATCAGGAAATTTTCACTATCTCAGTTCTGAGCAGCTATTCTATTTCCATCCAGCAGGTAAATAGCTATTGCAGCTTTGTCCATCCTGGATTTTCAGGGCTTTCCACTGTCAGCAAGAACAGAAATCTGTGAAAGAAGCAGCCACTGACATTCAAGTAAGAAAGCATCTAAAAACCCAAATCCCTGGTTGGCATGAGCACTCTCAGTGTAATCACTGCTAATTCCTGTGCCAGTGACAACAGTGGTTGAGTCTGATGAAGACTTGTGCAAGCAGAGCTGAAGCATCTGTTAAGTCTGTGATCTTATTCCACACAAAACTTTCTGGCTACTAGGAAGAAGTGGCTTCTATTACTTCTCTGAGCTTCCCACACAGCACCAACCCACATCTTCATTACCTGCATCCCACCCCCTCAGTGGGTGCTGGTTCCCTGCTACCTCAAACATCAGCAGAGTGCAGCTAATACTACTTGTTACTCCTTAGGTTTTCTGGCCAGTCATCCAAAAATCTCTCCACAATCTTGTCAACTCACTTTGCTGTTGCTGCCTAGGAAAATCTCTGCAACCGCTCGCGTTTGGCCGGTTTTCCCCACGGCCATATGGTCCCCACGCCTCTCCCGCCTCTCCTCCGCTCGCCATGAAAGCTTAACTTGTAATTCGGCAAAAACGAGAAGCCCGCATCCCCCTGCTCACGGCTGCTCTGTGGGTTTTTCCAAGAGCTGTAATGAGGAATGTTAAACAAACACCTTTAATTAAAGGAATGTTTGTTTAGTGTAATTAAATGCCTAAGGAACACCGCACTGTTGCAACCCCGGATAGTTTTGCAGTGCGTGCTGTACCTTGCGATACTCGAGTGCGAGGGAAATAATGCAAGCAAGTGACAACCTGGCAGTAAACACCCAAATATTAAGCAGCGTCCAAGCCATGCTACCCGTTTACCAACGCCTACGTGTCAAGAGGAACTGTATCAGCTGAAACAGGGGGTAAACTTGAGAAACTGAGTTACAAAAAATCCTGAAAAATAGAGAGAAATAAAACCCCAGCCCCAAACTCACAGCGTTTTCAGTCCCATTTCCTCTACTCTCTTCAACTACCTTTCTATCCGAACAGAAGAGAGGAGTCCTTTGAAGAACGAGACTTTCGACACCGCTCCCAGAGCGGCACAGAGCTTGTTTTTTATGTGACAAAAGTATTCCCCTTCCTTTCCAGCCGCCTCCACGGCCAACCAGCGCACTGGCAGCCCCGAGTGAAACCCAAGTCTCCCGCCTGGCAGGGTGGAGCATTCCCTCCGGGCTGCAGCTCCGCTCCGTTTTTCGCTAAACTACCGCAACTCACTCGAAGTTTTGGGGCGTTTATTTTGTGAAGACAAAAGGAAGAGAAGCGGCGGGACCCACGGCGGGGGCCGGGGCCGGGCGCGATAGCGGCACTCGAGATGTTTACCGCGACTTCGAGCCCCGGAGCCACGCGGGCGGCGCGGTGCCCTTCCCTTCCCTTCCCCGCCTCTCGCCCCTGCACCTCCCTAGGCCGCTTCTCGTTCTCCAGCGCGGCATCCCCCGACCCCCGCCCCGCAGGTGGAGCGCGCCCGCCGCGACCCCCGAAAAGAAGGAGGGAGGGCAGGAGGGAGGGAAAGAGGGAGCCGGAGCCGGACCCGCCGCCGCGGCGCCGCCGCTCAGCCCCCGCGCAGTCCCCGCGGCGCCGCTCCGCTCCGCGCCGTGCCCTGCCCGGCCGCCGGGCGCAAGGTCACCGCTCCGGCCGCCGGCCAGGGACCGGCCGCGGCTGGAAAGCCCCTACCTGGCAGCGCCGCCGCCACTATGGCGGGCCGCGCCGGGCCACGCCGCCGCTCGGCACTTCCCACCTCCCGCCGCCGGCGGAGCTGCGGCCGCTTCCCGCCTCCTCCTCCCGGGTCCCGGCGGCGGCCCCCGGGCCCCGCTTACCGCGGCTCGGGGAGAGGCGGCGGCCGCCGACGGGGAGCTGTGTCCGCGCCGCTCCCGCCGCTGCTGCTGCTGCCGCTGCCGCCGCGGCTGCAACAAAGGACTTCCGCCCCGCCGCGCTGCCGCTGCCGCAGCGCCGGCTCCGCCGCGACCGCACGGAGCCGGACCCCTCCCCTCGGCGGCCGCGGCTCCCGGCGCCGCCGCTGCCAGCGCTGCTGCGCCGCCGCCAATGCCGGGGCCCGGCGGGCGGCTCCCTGCCGCGCTCCGCTCTCCTCCCATGCCGCCGGGGACGCGGCGCGGCGCGGGCTGGCGCTGCCGGAGCCCCCTCAGCCCGGCTCCTCCCCGTCCTCCGGCGGAGCCCTCCGGACCCGCGGCGGGGCAGCGTTCGCCGGCGGGAGCCCACCGGGACTGTCCCGCCTCGCTGCTCTCCCGGCCCCCCGCAGTCCGCCCCTACCCCGCGCATCCGGGCTCGACGCAGGGAACGGGGAGTCTCTGCTTTCCCCCCGAAGCAGCCGTGGCCGGTGCTAACGGGGAGGCTCCGGTCACCCGTGTGGGTGTCCGGCGATGGAGTGTTGTACCCGCAGCCCCACGGCCCCCGCGTGGGACAGTTCAACTGCGAGAAAACCACTGCGAGCTGCGTGAGGAAGTATTTCCTTCTCGCTGCAATTTCACACGTTAATACCTCCGCCCTCCCTCCTGGAGCTTCACGGTGATGCAGGAGCACAGCGCTGGCAGCCACCGCCACGCTCTGTCACAGATCCCGAGAACAGCGCTTTTTTTCATCCTTCCAGGAGCTGTTCCAGGCCCTCTTCCCACCAGTGTCTGGACCTCTCCTGTGTGACAACATCCAGCTTCTCCGGAACTATCCCATGTGAGTAAGTGGGATTTCCGGCCCCCATGCTCTCTGCCGCAGATCTGAGAGAAAACATAAGCCAGGTCAGGCTTTCCTCCAGGTCTTACCACTTGACTTTTCCACCCCTAAAGTGACATTTGTCCTTCAGCACAAGCATTGTAAGTGTTTAATCCGCACAGCTCCATCATTCAGTTTCTGGAGAGACCATTGTTTTTATGTTGCTGCAACTGAGATCCCTCTAAGTATCTGACAAGCCAAAGGGGCAAACTTAATCATAGCAAAACTAAGAGATTTTATTACAAATTTGAAAATGGCAAAAGTAACAAAAAAGGCAACAAAATAAAATGCCACAATGTTAAAATGTGCCAGCATCCCTGATTCAGTGACCCTGAAGGCTTTCCCGAGGCATCCCTCCTCTGTGGAAGCAAACAGGACAAACCCAACTAACACAATCCTAGTTTCCAAAAGGAGGATCAGCCCTTCCTCCTGGGTCTGTCTGGGGGTTTTCTAACCACCACAGAATAAAAGCAGATCTTTCAAAATATGTCTTTCAGAATGTGTCTAAAAAATCCCCGTTTCCCCTCTCACTCTGCTTCAGCCTTGCCTCTGGGATATATAGCAGTGCCAAGGGAAAAAAACCTCTGTGGATATAAGACACCAGCTCCCACAGAAGATGAAGAGACCCCCACATTACAGCTGCTTTGTATGTTTTCCTGTTTTATAGGAAGTTAAATAAACGGCCTCCACAAGTAAACAGAGTCGTGGTTTTCAAATCACGCCGAAAGGTTGCTTTTCTTACGGTTCAAGAGTCTTTTTCTCCCTGCCTCTTTACACAGCCCAGGGCAGCACAAGCCAAGAGCGCCCATGAGGGGCTTGTGCAGCCTCTTGCTCTGTCCCATGTGCGTCACACCAGGAGCTCCTGCCACCTCCGGTAAGGTGGGGCACAGGGCAGTGCCCCTTTCTCACTACCCCCGCTCTCTTACTGCCTTCCCACCACACATTTGCAATTTACTTTTTTTTTTAATTATTATTTTCTGACCACAGAGGAGGAGGGAGTAGAAACACGCATGGAGAGAGCTGTGATTGCATCCTGATGTCTTTCTGACCCAGCAGCATAGGCTGTGTCACTTTGTATTGGCTGTGTGTGATATCATTCCCTGTGTTTTCCAGCAAAACACCAAATTTCATTCCTCACCATCGCTTTCATCAGTTTGGCTCTGGTTTCTCTGAAGCTCTTCAAAGTCCTCTTTGGACCAGAGTCAACCTAAATAACATGTAAATAATTAATCATTTAAATAAATAACATGCCATCTGAAAATAGCAACTCACTCCATACGCAGGTTAATAAATATGTTAAATAACCCAAAACAGAGTACAAAACCTTGAGCCACCTACTGCCAACCTCTTTTGGGGAAGAAAAGTGGCTACTAATATTTATAGGAGCAGCAGAATTATAGCTCCATGGTCTCTCAATTCTGCTTCTGCACAAACACAGGAGGGAAAGATGGTCCCTGACTCCTGTGAGCTTTATATTTAAAATAGAAGAAAAAAAATATAAAGCTGTGCTGGTCAGTGAGATAAGCAGCAAACACATGGATGAAAATGCTTTGGAGCCTGTGGTCTGTCATCTCTCAGTGCAACTTCATCACCACCCAGGCTCAGGCTGCCTGGAAACAGCCCCATAAGCTGATGGATTCTGGTGGCCAGGAGCATTATTTGCCTTTAATATTCAAGAATTGCAGTTACAGGGATGCAAAAAGGAAATTGACTACAAACTATCAAATGCTGAGAGGAAGCCAAGAGGGATGATCCGAGGCACTGAGTATATTCTGCAGAGGCCCTGAGTCAGCAGAGATGCTGTGGAGGAGGTGGGTGTGATAGATCCTGGAAACTGCACCAAAATCATAACAAAAGCACACAAACAGTGATTTTCATTGCCTTTTCCAGCTGGAAAAACAACACGTGAACATCAAATTAACCTGGTGGCAGCAGGACGCTGTATGGACTGGACGTTTGAACAGGTTCAGAACGCAATTCGGTAACATTCATCGAAACACACCTCAGAGGTGGCACTGAGTGCCAGAGCGGAGGGGTGGGGCGCGCAGGGGCCGCGCTCGCGTTTCCCGGGAGAAGCCCATCCCTGCCCGGGAGGGGCTGCTGGTGGCCAGGCAATCGCGGTCAAGGGTGGGAGTGCCGCCTGTGCCTCCTCCTGTGCCTGGCACCTCACCCGGCACAGCTGCTCTCGCCTAAAATAACCCCTGCTTTAACAGCAGTGAGCGACCGGAGGAGGAGGCCTGACAGAGAAACGCCGCGTCCTCAGGACTCGCGGTGGTTAAAGCAGCACAGAGGCCGCAGACATTGCTGAGGAAGCCGGGCTCGTATCTTCCCATCCATTCCCGGCCAGACCGGGGAAGCTCCTTTACTTTTTTTTTTTACCCCCTGGCCGCACACACTTTATGCCGAGAGCTGAGCCGCTCAGCGGCCCACACTCCGCCACTGGGCGATCAAGAAGCCGAGCCCCCCAGCCCAGGCTGATGCCTTTGGCAACGCACGGGAAAACACGCAGCCTCCCAAAAAATCCCCCACACGCTCCTTCCCTCCCTCGCACAGGAGCTGCGGGCGAGCAGCGCGGGCAGTGCCGCCCGCAGCCGCGCAGGGGCCGCGCCCAGCGCACCGCCGGGCCGCGCAGGGGCCGCGCTGGCGTTTCCCGGGAGAAGCCCATCCCTGCCCAGCCCTGCCCAGCCCTGCCCGGCCCGGCGGGGCCCAGCCCGCCCGGCAGGAAGCGCGGGGGGGCAGCGCCCACCCCATCCGCCGGGCGGGCAGCGGGGGCGGGCGGTCGCGGCGCTTCCGCGCGGGTAAGCGGCTGCGCGGGCGCGGGGAAGCCGCGGGGCCGGGAGGGAGAGAGGGAGGGAGGGAAGGAGGGCGCTGGTCCCGCGCCACGGGGAGGCTGCGCCGCCGCCTCCCGATGCGCGTCGTGTCTCTCTCTCTCTCTCTCTCCCCCACAATGATTTTCTGCGGAAACAATAGCAAATATCAGCGTTTATTTGCGCAGGGGCCGCTGGCGGGGCGGGGCGGGGCGAGCGCGGCTCGGCCCGCACAATGGGGGCTTTGTTGGGCGCACAGGGCTCCTCTGTGCCGGAGCCGCCGGGCTCAGCCCCGCTCCCCCGCGCTCCCGCCGCGGCTGCGGGGCAGCAGGAAGCACCGTCAGATCGCAGGGGAAACGCCAGCCAGGTTTAAAGTTAGTGCTGACACCCTACGGAGCGTAGCTAATCAGCGGGACAAGCATCTCTGAGTGTAGCTGGCAGATGGGAAAGTCCCCGAAAGGTCTTGAGCTCATTGGTCGTGGGTTTGAGCACCAGCGGTGGTATCGGAAGGAGAAACTGTTAAATTGGGGTGCAGGGACTATGTGGAGGAGGGAAGAGGCTCCATGCCAAGCGTCCATCTCGTTTTGGTGGTGGGAAGTCAACACTGGAGCCTTTGGGAGCTCTCCGATTTCTTAACGAGATGAACATCTTGTTCCCTTGCTCCCAGGGACACCATGGATACCACCGGCCACAGCGTCCTCCTCCTCCAGCAGCTGAACATGCAGCGGGAGTTTGGCTTTCTGTGTGACTGCACAGTTGCCATTGGAGATGTTTACTTCAAAGCCCACAGAGCGGTGCTCGCTGCTTTTTCAAACTATTTTAAGATGATATTTATTCATCAGACGAGGTAAGAACACATAGCTCCCCTCCTATCCTTTTGCCACTCTCAGCATTCTGCTTTTTCTTCTTTCTAAAGGTATAAAAGTCTAAGAGAGTATAAATGGGGATGTTAGGTGGTTTGAGATTATTTTCCTAACCCAGCACAGGCCTTGACTCTCTAAACAATCCCAGTCCAGAAAGCACTGCCCTTTAAAACCACTTTCTTAGTCAGTATATGGCAACATCAGACCCTGCATTTTGGAGATGAGGCATTTGTGTGACCAGATAAATAAAGCATGTAAATACCACCATCTTCTGCAGTGAGAGCCTTGCAGATTTGGAATCCAGGGATATCCTGGTACTCCTACCCATGTGAAATATGTCCAGTACTTTGCCTTAGGTTGTTGTCAAGCTTGCTGGGTGAGACTGTCATTTCTGGCAGGATCCACAAACAATCGAGAAGCTGTGGCCTTATCACAGTTCTGTGCTTCAGACTCTTGGAGATAAGAGCTGAGACTGAGATCATCAATTCATTTCAAGCTGTTGTTCACATTGCTTCACCTGGCCAGGTCAGGAGTGGTTCTGCAGGTATAACAAGAGCAGTGCCAAGGTCTGGCCTCTGACCTGGGGCTGACTGCTTGTGATGGATTAAACCTTCTTCATTCCCCTTCCTTTCTGAGGATCGTGGCCTCCAGAACCTCTGCAAGATAATCTTTAGGATCAGCTGCATCGCCCCTTGGCTGGAAGTGAGATGAGTTAACTGCCCTTCCCTGTGGATGTTGTTTGCTGACACTTAAGTGCAATACTCATAAAGATTACACAGTACTGGCAGCTGAACTTATTGCTCAGATAGATGGAGTGGCACACACCGGTGATGCACAGCTTGCATGGCATCGCTGCAGTGCTGTGTGGCTGCAGCTGGCTCTGCATGGGAGGGATGGGGTGGCCAGGGCTGGTCACTTGCACCAGCCTCAGCTGCAGTTGTGCACGTGGTCTTCAGAATCACAGGGATAAACGCAGACTCAGGCACTTGGCTTTGCAGACAAAGCTTCTGCACTTCTGCAGGGCTTGGCAGGAGTGCTGCTTGTAAAAGTGCTCTCACAGCAAATGGGCAGGTAATGGATCGGGATTTGGATCCCTGTATGTACTTAATCATCTGTTTTATTTCAGCGAGTGCATAAAAATTCAGCCTACAGACATCCAGCCTGACATATTTAGTTACTTGTTACATATCATGTACACTGGGAAAGGGCCAAAGCAGACCGTCAGCCAGAGCCGGCTGGAGGAGGGCATCCGCTTTCTGCACGCAGACCACCTCTCCCACATCGCCATCGAGATGAACCAGGCCTTCTCCCCAGAGCCTGTCCAGTCCTCCAACTTGTACGGGATCCAGATCTCCACGGCACACAAGCTGGCAAAGGAGCGCCTGGGAGCGAAGGAGAGCCTGCCCAAGGCGGGCGGCAGGTCTGCGGCCCAGGGCGATCACCCCCAGCTGCAGCTGTCCCTGGCCATCGGCCTGGACGATGTCCCCCTGGACCAGCAGGCCGCTCGCCCCGCGGCCCAGCCCGCGGCTCTGGCCAAGCCGGCGGAGGAGCGCCCGAAGCTCTCGGTTTCCATAAAGCAGGAGAGGTGCGACTCCGAGCCCGTGGTGTCCCAGAGCTGCACCCCTCCTTCTCCGGGGGTAGCGAGCCCCATCCTCGCCAAGGGCAGCCTCAAGGTGCACTTGTGCCACTACTGCGGGGAGCGCTTCGACTCGCGGGACGCGCTGCGGCAGCACCTGCACACCCACGTCTCGGGCTCGCTGCCCTTCGGCGTCCCGGCCTCCATCCTGGAGAGCAGCGACCTGGGCGAGGTGCAGCCTCTGGCTGAGGACAGGGAGCCTGGGGATGGCCATCGCCTCGGGGCCTTCCTCCTCAAGGAGGATGAGCATCAGCTGGAGCACCCGAGCTGCAGCGACCTGGAGCCTCTGCAGATCGGGCAGCTCTCCCTCATCTCCAAGGACCACGAACCGGTGGAGTTGAACTGTAACTTTTCTTTCTCAAGGAAGAGAAAGATCAGCTGCACCGTTTGCGGCCGCACGTTTTTCCGGAAGAGCCAGCTGCTGGAGCACATGTACACGCACAGAGGGAAGCAGCACAGGTACGGCCGCTGCCAGCAGCTGGAGGGCCCCACCACCCCCAGGTTTCACCCTTACTGTGACAGCGAGAGCGTGGGTAAGAGCTCCAGCTTGTCCCAAGACCACTTAGATGAATGTATTCTGGAGTCAGATCTCATCCAAGAAAGTGTCGATACGATCCTGGTAGAGTAATTCTCCCCCTTCAGATGCTGAAACTGGATGTTTTGGCATTCTCCACCTAGGGAGTGGCTGCTCTGTGCAGCTGATTTTCTTGAGCCACCATTCCCCTCACCACTGAGATAACTGTGAAGGACTGTGTACTTTGACTTGTGTACTTGCTTTTTTTACTTCTCTAACTTTTAAACTCAAGTTAATTCCCATCTAAGTCCTTCTTGGAAGCCTCCGTGTAACTCAGTTATGTTTTTCCTGAATGTGAACTTATTCCTACTCTGCTTTACTGGAGTAAAGGCTGTATTGCTGGGTGTGAGGTTTAAACATTGTCTAGTACTCTGTGTGGTGCCTAGGACTGTTTGTATCCTGTAGAATTGCTCTTCTGAAACCAGATGGATGGAAGTGTAGAGGGAAATACTTATTGTGTTTCCCAAACAGTTTGTTTTTAATGAAAATAAATATCTCAAGGAGATGAATCCTGAAGTTCATGTTGTTCATGTAACTGCAGTTAATAAATCTCAGCATAAATATTTGCAGGAGCCATAAGGCTGCTCTTTTCAAGGGAATTGGCAGTGTTGATGTAGGGGTGGCAACCTTCATTTTGACAAGCCCTGGAGTCCTCATCTGTCTTCTAAATTTACTTTTAAACTCTAGGGATTTGCATGTGTTTTTCCTCCTTCCTACTCCTCCCTCATTCACCACTGCATAAGCAAAGACAGATTTTAATGCCCCTCTAGGACCATGCTTCATTTTTGGACTGTCTTCTCTGCAGGGAGGAAGGCAAGCTGCAAAGTGTTCTCTTCTTTGAGAGGAGACATACCCTACTTAAGTCTTTACAGGATTATATGCCACACACGTATTTTCTGAGTGAAAATGATTTCTGACTTTATAAACAGCTTGGAGTAAACACATTTTTTAATATTACAATCTGTATATTTGCTCAGAGCAAATACACAGCGTGTTATTTTTTTCTCTGTTTGCAGAGCCAGTGTGAGATGATAACATGCAAGTTCTTTGTCTGTCATATAATCATGGAATGGTTTGGGCTGGAAGGGACATTAAAGATGATCTAGTTGCAACCCCCCTACCACAGGCAGGGCCACCTTCCACTGGGTTGCTCAAAGCCCCATCCAGCTTTTCATTTATCATTACTTGTTATCTGAAGGGTAATATCCAAGGAGGGGTTAAAATTATACACATGCCTCTTGAATTCATAGTTTGTCCCTCTCTAGTTCTCATCCCAGGCTTCCCACCAGGTGGGCTGCAGCCCACCCCTCAGAGATGCTGCTACTCAGAAGGCCCTGAGGAGACACACCAAATTCTTAGAGAGCAGAGATCTCTTCTGCAGCTCAGAGCAAAAGCCTCGTGAGCTGCTCGCATAATCTCTTTACCCAGTTTTTGAGAAGCTGGAAGCTTCCTGCCAGTCCTGGTGGAGCCAAGTCATTCCCTTTGGAAAGGGGGAGCCTGAACAATGGTGTGAGAACAGTTTGCTGTCAGAACGCCTGCTCCAAAGCTCTTTGTAGTCGGGGCTCTTGAGCTGTTTTGATACTGTCCTGGAGCGAGAGCTGCAATTAAATCACTGCCATATTAAAAGACCATCTGAGGTCTTTGTAAGGGCGGTTGCTGCTTCTCCTGGGCAGGGAGCTGCTCACTCCAGGGGCAGGATTGGCCACGGAGAGCTGCCAAATTGTGTTTCAAGACAAAGGGGCAAAACAACCAGTCCCCGAGCCTGCCGAGATGATGTTGCAAAATGCAGGCTGTGGTTTGGAGCGTGCTTCTCTGCAAGCCCCAGTGCTCCTTTTGCTGCTTGTACCCTTTAAAGCTGCTCTGGTGTGAACACATTTGAACTCTGCTTAAAAAGCGTTCTTTAAAACAAGCAAACAAACAAAACCCAGCCGACACCCAGGCCTGTGAATGCTGCATCTGAGCACGGAGCCATTCACACGGAGCATTTCCTAGAAGAGAGCCTTCTGCTTCTCTCCCAGCCTAATAGCATCAGCTAAATCAGCTAAATCGCATCCAGAACAGGCTGCTCATAACTGGGCAAATGCCCTCCGGCTTCCACTGACCTCCATTTCTACATGATGGGTAAAAAAAAAGAAAAAAAAGAGGTATTTTATGGTCATTCCTTACTTGTATGTGACACTTTTACTGAGTGGGCTGGCTTCTCTGGGTGCTTGCTTCCCTCGGCTTCCTACATTTAATTTAAAAACAGAGAGAAGTGTTTGCTGGGGTGGCTAGAGCTGTAGAAATGAGCTGTAGAGGGACTGAATGTCAGCTATTCAGCCAGTAGATGAGCACCTCCGATTGTCAAATAGGTGCCTAACTTGCCTGAAGTAATTGGTGTTGGAAGTCAAAGGGCTCTTGCTGTCTCTGCAGAGGTAACAGAGTAGTGGCAATAGAGGTGAGTGTTGGGGACAGCAGCAGGGACAGCAAGCAGCAGTGCCCAAGGGACACGCTGCTCATGCTCAGGTGCGTGGGCTGGACTGTTTTGCTCTCTTCTTGCCCATTAAATAGGGAGCTTTTATAAAAGCCATGATCTTGGGTAAAAGAGCCAAACATCCCTCGGCTCTACGTGCTGTAGGAGTGACTCCATGGCACTGACTGCAAACACACCAGCAAAGCTGAAATGAGACACAAACCGGGGCTGTGTTCCCGTGTATCCTTGAAAAGATACAACTGTAGAGGATTGTTTTCTGTTATCCTCACACCCCCTTTTAAAGGTGCACTTTGGTTAACCTTTGTGGGACTGAACATCTGTGACATCAAACGCCTGCCAAAGGCTTCTTTTTTTTTTGCATCATTTGCAATACAAGAAATGCATTTTCAGCAGTTTTCTACTGCAAGTGTTAAAGCACTGTTATAATTAAAGCAGCAGGAAAAGCTGGAGACAGAAGTCATCAGCTCCGAGTTATGTTAACATAAAAACATCATTCTCTCCAAGTCTTATGAATAGAAAATAATTTTACAGGGCAGTTACATTTGCTAAGCAAGGGCAGCAGCTGCTCCTGGATAAATCATGAGAAGTTTTATTACTGTATGTGGAAGACACTTGAATTACTGAGTGCTTAACCTTTATGCCGGTACATGCTTGGAAATCTGCCTGACTTGCACAGCTGGGTTTGACAAATACTCATTTCTTGTTGGGATTTGATTATTTTTTTTTAAATAACCTAAAAAATTTTTTCATAGTCTGCAGAATAATTATACTAGTGATTCCTTCCAGATATCTGTGACTGTTTAATAGATGCACATGGGCTTAGGCAAAGAAAGCCCTGGGGTGGGAATACTTCAAGGCTGGAAGTCCCAAAGCTCCAGGGGATCCTTGGAGATTTGTCATGTGCTCTGGAGACGTCCCATCATTAGGGGTACTGAGCTGATGAACCATAGTCATTGAAGTGCCTTCTCTTTGGGCTCTACAGCTCATATTTTATGTAAAGATGGGAAGATTTGGGCTCAGATCCCCCCTGCCAAAGCCCCTGAGCATGAGCAGACTCTTCAGCCAGCTCAAGTGAACCTCTGAAATGCCACTAAGTGCAGCAGTGGCTGTCATCATGTAGCTGGGTGCTGGCCCCAAAATACTGACTGTACATTGGCTGGCTCAACCACCAGAGCATGAGAAACTATTTCAAGATAGGTAATTTGAAATATTTTGAAATCTTTTTAGTGACCTGATGCTGCTGGATCCAATAGGGTCTGTGTTTCTCAGGCTTCTTAGGGTGCATTAAAGTGTGTGGACAAAAGTGTATTTATCCCCCCCTGCAGTGTGGGGTCTGGAGAATGTTGTTTTTGTGCACACTGAGAAGGTTGGACAGGGAAATGAAATTTGCTGTTGGGATGTAAACCTGAAGCAGTGAGCATTACAGTTAAAAATAAGGCCATGAAATACTGCTATCATGCCATTTCACTTCTTCAGTGTAATGCTGATACTGAATAGTTTTCTGGTATTTTGGAAGCAGAAAGTATTTATCCTGTGTAAGTGAAGCCTTCAGAACTGCAGTGAAAAGTGACCTCAGCATATGCAATTCCCCATCATTGGATGGGACTATGGGCTATCAGTGGCCAAATTTCATGGCTTATGGAAGGCCTCCCACAGCAATCAGCCAACAGGTCATGCCATACCTCTGCCATGATCTTCAGATTCCCTGTTCAATAAAACTCAGTCTCTTTCCTTCTCATCCAGGATTGCCAAAACAACTGCAACAGAGTGGGCTTCCCAGCAGTCCAGCACTAAGAAAATGTATTCTGAGCAACAAGAAATCATGAAGAAAAAGGTAATGAGGATGGATGTGCCCTAAATTACATGCTGGTTAAATATTTGCAACCAGAGCTGTGTCAAGACTGAGCTCCCTGAGATGCAATCGCGGCATCTACGGGATTTGCATGTTTCATTAAGAAAAAGTAATGACACAACTTCAAAAGCAGCCTAGGAGAGGAAATGTTCTCCACCAGCTATTCTAAACCAGAGGCTGCACACCCAGAACAAAGGCAGGGCAAAGCTCTCAGGCTTCTCTGGGTTTCACCTGAGTGGAGGTGGCTCTGGGAAGCTTTGGGGGATTCCAGCTGGGAACTTGGGGGTACCTCCTGGGATGCACAGGGCAGTGCAGCATGTTTAGTCCGTGTGAATCCTCCTGTTACTGGCACAAATACTGTAGAAAAACACTGTCTAAAGCCCCCTGTCCCTCTTGGCAATCCCTGGGAGTTGCAAACCATTGTGTTTAGGACATAAAGCCAGCTATATGTGCCAGGGCAGGAAACCAGGACATAAAGCCAGCAATAGGCGCCAGGGCAGGGAAACCGGGGCGGCGAGCCATCGAGGGGTGATGGATACAGGGGAAGAACCTCGTGGCACGCTGACAGTGGTGTCAGCCACCGAGAGCGGACCCAGGGATGGGCGTGCAGCCTCGCCGAGCTCCGCCGGAGCAGCGGCAGCGGCGGATGCTCCGCGTCACCTTTGCCCGCAGCCCTCCCGGGAGGGACCCGCTCCCGCAGCGCCCGCCTCCGCCACCCGCAGCACCGCCGGAGCCAGCAGGGCAGGAGCCCCAGCCTGTCATTAGGGCCCAGCATCCCCCAGCAGGCTGTTTTCCCGATTCGCTTACTCATGGCGCTAATGGTCGGGCTGCGGGCGCGCCTTCCTGTTGTGCCTGTTGCGCTCGCCAGCCGGGCCCCGGCCCGCTCCTGCTGCCCGCGGGCTGCGAGCCTCCCAGCGCCTCGGCCTGCCTTGCTCCAGCTGGGAAATGGAATGCAAATCGGGTTTCAGGCTGTCTGGAGCCCGACGCCGTGGTGCGGCGCAGCCGGGGAGGTTCGGCGGGCGGGAGCGGCGGGGCCGGAGCGCCGCTCCCCCTTCCCGGGGGATGCTCCGGAGGAGCCGCAGTCCTTGCGCTTCCCACCCAGCTGCCACCTCAGCAGGCTCCCGTCACGCCGAGCTGTCAAGAGCTGAGCTCTGACACGCCGCGGCCTCGAGTGTTCATTATAAATGACAAATGGGGAGAGCAAATGTGACACGAGTGAC